AAAATTTACGTTACGATTTCCTTTATAATTTTTAATTGCGGTTTGTTGCTTTTCTTTGATAACATCTGTAACTACAGGCGGTTTTAGCAAACTAAAACGCGATTTTAATTCTTTTCCGAGAAGGAGTTTCGCAGGAGTTTCGTTAGTTGTGCAATGTTTTGTAATTCGATAGTCAAACAAAAATCTATCGAGAATGTTGTCGAAGTCACCTATTTTGCTCTCCTCAATCGTTGCAATTAATGACTTTTTCAATGTTTTGACAAAATTCTCGGCTTGACCGTTTGTCGATGGATGTCCAGGTGCGGTGTATATGTATACGATGCCATTCATTTCCAAAAAATGTTTAAATTCAGCAGAAGTAAATTGTCTTCCATTGTCTTGAACCAAGATGCTGATTAAACGAAATCGTGAGAAAATTTCTTTTAATTTACGAATGACAAATGCAGACGTCATATCCTTGGTTTTGAAAACTTCAACCCACTTGGAATATGAATCGATTGCAAGAAACAAATAATAGCCTCGAACGGGACCTGCAAAGTCAATGTGAACACGTTTCCAAGCTGAATCAGTGGGTGTCCACGGCATGAGAGTACTTTTCTCAGGACTTGCTTGAGTCTTTTGACAATAAATACAACCTTTTATCAAATTTTCAATTTCTTTGTCAATATGCGGCCAATAAACATATGAACGAGCTAACGCTTTCGTTTTTACAATTCCCATGTGCGATGCGTGAAGGTCTTGCAAAATGATCTTACGCAGAGCATTTGGAATGACGGTGCGATAGCCCCAAAGAATGCAACCTGATTCAACAGATAATTCAGTTGCTTTGTTTCGAAATGATGTATATTCACTGCCTTGAAGCTGATCGACAGTTCCGTGTTGAATACAATCGTGAACCTTTGATAAAATTGGATCTCGTCGAGTGTGTGTGGCTATATCTTTGTACGTTAATGTTTTCATGATGTTTGAACCTACATAATTTATGTATGAACTCTCCTTGGTTTCTTCCGCTGTAGAAACTTGTGCAATACGTGATAAACTATCAGCCGTATTCAAAGAACCTTTACTACTGAATAGAATAATTGAAACCAGACAAAAGAAACGCCCATCTCTGCATACGAGCAGCGGCCATCAAAGGAATGCCTTTATTTTCGCCAAAAATTGCTATCAACGGCCTGTGATCAGTTTCAAGCGTGAAAAACATGCCCAATAAATATTGTCTTAACTTAATCACACTAAAAATGATGGCTAAGGCTTCTTTTTCTATAGTACTGTAATTCTTTTCTGCATTATTTAATGCGCGTGAGACATATGCAATAGGTCTCTTGGTTCCATCGTCATATTTATGAGATAAAATACCAGCAATGGCTGTATTACAGGCATCTGTAGACAAAATAATTAATAATTTCGGATTAAAATGAACTAAAAGTCGATCAGAACAGATTTCTGTTTTCATGTGTTCGAATACATTTTGACAAGCCTGATCCCATTTAAATTCAACATTTTTTTGCAACAAATGGTAAAGCGGTGTCATTTTCTGAGCGAAATTTTCGATGAAAAATGAATGATGATTTACCATGCCAATAAATGCTCTTAATTCAGAGACATCCCTTGGTCGTGGTGAATTGAGAACGGACTTGATTCGTTCTTTGTTCCGACTTAAACCATTTTTGTCAATGTCAAATCCTAAATAAGAAATTTTTTCCTTGAAAAATTCACATTTGTTGACGTTTAGTCTGAGACCGGCTGTCTGAAGTTTAATCAAAACTTGTTTTAGCGTTTTCAAATGATCTGCTAGAGTTGGCCCAGTGACGACAATGTCATCTTGATAACAGAATACATTTGAGAAGCAACTAAGGAGATTTTCCATGGTCTTTTGAAAAAGTGCGGCGGCAATTTTGACGCCAAACGGTAAACGTGTCATTTTGAAAATGCCTTTGTGTGTACTCCATGTACACAATTTTTGTGCTTCATCGTCTAAAACTAACTGATTGTATGCATTCGACATGTCAAGTTTAGTAAACAAAATATCTCCTTGCATTGAAGCAAAAATTTGATCAATCCGTGGCAATGGATATTTGAAATCGATTAAAAATCGATTAATTGTGACTTTGTAATCACCACAAATGCGAATATCGCCAGAAGGTTTCAATAATGGCACAAGAAGTGTAGCCCAATCCGAATTGTCTACTGGAATAAGTATTCCTTTTGAAACGGAGTCATCTAACTGTTTCGCTATCATATCACGCCATGCTAACGGAACAGGGCGAGGTTTGCAAAAAATCGGTGTGACATCTTTTTGAATGGGTAATTTAATGGTCGTGACGTTATACTTTCCTAAACCGCAACTAAAAACTTCGTGAAACTCACTTTTGATTGAATCAATCATTTCGTTGGGCGCAAAAATATTATTGACGCGATTTGTTTGTACTAATTCAAAACTAAAAGCACGCAGAAAATTTCTACCTAACAAAATCGGTCGGTCACTGTTTGTCACTACAATTATTCCTGATATCTTTTGACCTTTGTAATTAACAACTGTTTGAAACTCACCAATGATCTTCAATGGGTCACCTGTGTATCCGGAGAAAGGTGTGTTGCATGGTTTCAAAACTCTTCGATCAAAGTATTTATCAAATGTGTGAATTGATATGAGCGAACATGGTGCACCAGTGTCACATTCGACCATAAGCCTGACTCCATCCACAAGCACAGTTAACTCATAGCGATCGTTCCCTTCCGAGCCCTCAATTGAATAAATTGGGTAGTCGTAGTTCGTCACATCGCATGGTTCAATGCTAAACGTAGAAGTGGAATTACAAACAGAATTAGAAAAATTTTCACTAGAAATTGAACAATTTTTATCAAAAAAATTAACAAAATTGACGTTATTCTTATCCTTCTGCTTGCAAATGTTGGCTAGGTGCCCAGTTCGTCCACAGGAATGGCACTCGCTGTCCTTGTATTTGCATGATGATGATGTGTGGTTCTTCCAACCACAATGCCCACATGGTTTTTTCGATTTCCCGTTACCGTAGCTCTTCTTGCGATTGTTGTTGTTGTTGCCGTTGCTGCTGCTTTGCTTGCCACGCGCTTTGATGAAATTCACGTCCACGCTGCTGTTTTGCGATTGTTGAATTTTTG